GGCATCTACGCCCCCGTCGTGGCCTTCTTCCACGAGGACGAGACTCTCGATATCGAAGCTTTGAAGACTCACATTACGCGGCTCGCCAAGTCGGGCGTGGCCGGCCTGGTCATCCAGGGATCCAACGGAGAGGCGCCGCATCTGCTCCACTCGGAGAGACAGCAGGTCATCGCAACGGCGGCCGAGGTGCTCAAGCAACACGGAAAGCCCGAGGCCGTCATCATCGCAGGCTGCGGCGCGCAGAGCACGAGGGAAACCATCCAGCTCTGCACCGAAGCCAAGGAGTCGGGGGCAGACTACGCTCTCGTCCTGTCGCCGAGTTACTGGAGTGAGTTTTCTTCACCCTGAAGCCGGCCACTAAGACGTCAAAGACGGAAGCCCAGATTACTGACCCGCTTTGTAAATAATTGTAGCCGGCGCGATGCAAAAGCCCGTGATCCAAAAGTTCTTTGACGACGTCGCAACAGCATCGCCCATCCCCATCCTCCTGTACAACTTCCCCGCCGTGACATCGGGCATCGACCTCGATTCAGACCTCATCGCCGACCTGGCGGCCTCGAACCCCAAAGTCGTGGGCTGCAAGCTCACCTGCGGCAACCTGGGCAAGCTGCACCGCGTAGCGCACGACGAGCGCATCCCTCAGCCTTTCGCCGCGTTCGCGGGCAAGTCGGACTTTTTTCTGCACGGGCTCGTGGCGGGCTCCAACGGCGTCATCGCGGCGGCGGCCAACTTCACGCCCAAGGTGCACGTCAAGCTGCTGGAGCTGTACGATGCCGGCAAGCTCAAGGAGGCGACCGAGTTGCAGACGAAGCTGAGCCGGGCGGACTGGGTGCTGGTGCAGCTGGGCGTTGCCGGGCTGAAGGCTGCGCTGGATAGGTATTTCGGGTATGGCGGTGGACGCAGCAGGCGGCCGCTTGGCCTCGTCGCGAGCGCAAAGTTTGAAGGAGAAAAGGATGCGGTGCTTAAGGACTTGGTTGACTTGGAGAGTTCGCTGTAAACCTGGGAATGACCAGATGTGATGAGATGTAGATAAGATATGGATAAGATAATGCCACTTTGATGATAAGATAAGTCGTCTTCGAGCCCCAGCTGGCAGATGTTCTTGTCACCAGCTGCGGCCAGCTGCTCGATTGAATCACCAGCTGTGTTCCTTCGTCTTCAGTTCACTGTGCACACTTGTTCCGTCCGCATCTTGACCTCCAGACTCGTCTTACGTACTCGCGCTCCGTTTGCTCCTCGAAGCCACTCGCTTTACCGCAGATCTCGACTCGATCCGTTCTTTGCTGGATGTCTGAGATTCGAACTTTTAGCTCGCGACGCCCGGCTGGACCATTCGTAAAGGTGCCTCAAGAGACTTTAAGCTTACTGGACCAACTCCAAAGAGTTCCTTATCCGTCCCTTGTCGACGAGGCATGTGAACACTTTGGTGTAAGCCCATTGGACAGACCCGACCGGGGGTGGCTGATAGCACGAACTGATGCTGGAAGCTAAACAGCGCTCCTAATGCCCCGTCGCCTGCTCCCAGCCACCCCAGATACTTTCTTCATCTTCATCTTCCCAGACTAAGCAGAACGGATCACTGATGTGGACTGTTCTAGTTTTTCGCGGCATCTAGACCCAGGTTCTCGGGTCATGGCCGTACCTACTCTTCTGCCCCAGTCTCGACTGCCTTGGCTACCTTGTGTTAGTTGGCAATTACAGATCATCGTCGAGAAAACCCAAGACATGTCGCATAAGAGCAATGAACGAGCAAGACATTCATGTCAGACAGTCTCAATTCAGCCCAATTCCCCCGCCTGATCGTCGCTACCGCACGTTAAAAACGGCCGCTGCAACCAGCTTCTTCTGGCCGATGCAGCCGATTGCGGCATCCCATCGCTGCCTCTCACCTTTTCTCTTCCAAGCGCCAGATGCATGAGTGGCTTGCTCCATCATTGGCCGGAGCTATCGAGGATAGCTGATAACGTAGCTTGGAGCTCAATCGCGCCATGCAGTCACCCCGCACCTTGGCCTCTTGAGTTCGGCTCTCCGTTCACAACTCTCTCTGCCTCTCACCTTATCACCACGACTGCCTCCAACATCCTTCACCTCTCCCTGATTTGGACAACTCATTTGGCTCGGCTTACTTCAAAGTCAGCCATGTGCCGCCATCTCCACTCTGCTAGCATGCAGACACTGTAGATCCTTGCTGCGCTTCCCACGCCATCCCGCGTCGGCCCCATCCGTCACCACCGCCATCGTCGACCACCCATCTGTTGGAGTCGCAACGGTAGCCAAGAAAGACAATGCCGCCCGTCTGCCATGTCCGGCCTTGTACCCTGACTCGTTCTGTCGCTCTGGGCCTCAAGCACGTCATGTACTGCCTACATTACCCCTCCGAGACAAGCGTCCTGGGGGAAGGAAGGAAGGAAAGACACTCGATGGCTTATCGAGGCGACATGCGGTGAGAAGCTGTCACTCATGTTCCCCTCTGAGGTGAAGATGGTGTAAGCCCAGCTAGCTTCCCGCCGCCGCCCTGCTGCATGCGAGCCTTGCATGCTCCGGTCCTTCCAAGCTCTCCTCTGTCTCTGGACTGGTGGTCTGGCTTTGTTCTTTTAAGCCGAGCTATCCCTCCATCCTCTCTTCCGAGCAGCCGTTCGTCTGTATCGGATTGATCTCTCCGTTGCCTTGAGCTTTCTCTTGCCTGTGTAAGCCCGTACTGCAAGTTCAGTCACCCAAATCTTGCAACCGTATGACACACAACCCAGGCTTCTCGCCCGCCATGTCTACTCTATCTCTGGTTCTCTTCATTGGCACCCTGATCGCAACGACCTCGGCCGCGCCCTCAACTCCTTCAGTATGGGCGTCGGTCGCAATGATCATGCATGGTGAGCGCACGCCGGTGCGCAGCGGGCTCCAAGATACCCTGACTCCTTTGGGTGCTCAAGAGATGTACGCCCAGGGAACCGCCTTTAGAAGTCGCTACCTGGCCAGCGGAACACCCACCAACACCTCCGAGGGTCGCATCACGACCCGCGCCGCGATCAAGGGAATTGCGCGCAACGTGTATGAGCATGAGCAGCTCTCGATCCTCTCCCTCCCCGATGCCCACATCGCCGCCGGCGCTGCTGCCTTCATGCAGGGCCTCTACCCGCCCATCACGCAGGCTTTTGCGGCCGATACTGGCGGGACGAACATCTCGTACTCGACAATCTCTGGAAACACCACGCAGTACCCTCTGGGTGGTTATCAATATCCTATTATTGAGACGCTGGGACTGTCTGACGATAGGTCGATTGAGTGAGTTCCATTAACCATAAAATTCCCCTTGCGACTGAACTGACTTGCCATCGTAAAGTGTTCGGGGCAACACGGAATGCCCGCAGTGGAAGATCTCGACGACGTATGTCATGCAGCTCGACCCGTACATGCAAGCCCTCGAGCAGGCGTCCCGCCCGGGCTACACATCCCTCTTCAGCACGCCGCCACTAAACGACGGCGACATCTCCCTCGCACACGTCAACTTTTGGAACGCCTACGACATCTACGACTACGTCCGCTACCGCTACTCCCACGAGCAGGCCGTCTACGACGGTCTCCAAGACGAGTACGCCCAGCGCATCGAGTTCCTCGAAATGTACGCCCGCCTCCAGCAGCTCAACATGACCTCCAACCAAGCCGTCTCGGGCCTCCAAAAGGGAGACATGATCCGCACCATCGCCGGCCGGACCTTTGCGCGCAGAGTCGTCGACGCCCTCGAGGCCAACGGCAACTTCGCCGGCTACTCCAACAAGCTGACCCTCCTCTTCAGCTCCCAGGAGCCCTTCCTCTCCTTCTTCTCCCTCGCGGGGCTCCAGAAGCCGAACCAGACGCTCTCCACGACGCCCTTCTGGAGCCTCCCCGAAAACGGCGCCGCCATGGTCTTCGAGCTCGTCGGCGACCAGCCCAACGAGCCAGACACCTACCCGACCGAGGAGAACCTCTACGTCCGCTTCCTCTACCGCGAGAACGCCGAGCCCGGAACGCCGTTCTTGGAGTACCCCCTCTTCGGCCTCGCCGAGGGCGACACCCGCGTGACGTATAGCTACTTCAAGCAGGAGATGGCCAAGTTCGGCATCGACACGGCGACGTGGTGCAGCATCTGCGGCTCGATCCAGTCGTTCTGCGACTGGCAGACCACGAAGACAACGCCGACCGTCGGCGAGGCCATCCGCTCGGCCGTGCAGAAGCCCGTTGTTGCGGGTATCATTGGCGCCATCATCATCCTCGCTGTGTTGGGCCTGGTTGTTGTTTCGGCGGCTGTTCTCGGCGGTTTCCGCATTCATCGTGCCGGAGGCGGAGCAGGAGGGAAGGACGGCAATGGCCGGATTGCCGGGCTCGGAGGCTTCAAGGCCGCGGAGAAGATGGCCAGCGACCCGGACCTGGCTGTCTCTGGGCGCGGGGTGCGACACGAGCGCCAGGGGAGCTGGGAGCTGCGTGACGGAAGGGAGGTATCGAGAGCCGGAGGCCAGGCGGATATTGCTGTGGACAAGAGTGCGTCGACGTTCCAGGCGAAACCTATTGATGATGATGCCATTAGTGTTATGGGGGCTTCGCCCGTGAAGCCCAGAGAGAGCGTCTGATTGAAGGGTACAGCAGACAGGTTGGTTATGGTGGGATGATGGGATATGGACTCTCTTCTGGCTTTCGTTTATGATACCCTTTTTTGATACCCTTCCTCACGGTCATTTGCTGGAACATTTTGGCATGGTTACAGGCATCGTCTTTCCTTGTGGTCTAGGGCATCGTCCATACATATACTCATATTTTGATATAAAGTCTACTACCTGTACAAAATGGTAACAAGAGAAGAGTGAGAAATGTACGCTACATAGATCATCAGTACGTGGAGATACCCACAGTGTTGCGTACAGTGCTATACACACAAAAGAAACTGTAAAAGCAACCCCACCGCAGTGACCTTCCATTCAAACCCCGCCATCACCGCCAAAACTCCAATTCCTCTCAACACGACGCGACCTCTTCCTTAAACCTCCAAAGACAGAGAGCCACCAACAAACAACATGTCGTCACATCAGCGGACCTTTTCCCACTCGCAATCCCAATCGGGAACGAGGGAAAAGACGTACTTTGAGCAACAGCGAGAAGAACTCATTGGCGAAATCGCAATGGTAGGCCCCCCCGGTCGGCCTCTTGTTCCCCAGAGCGACGACGCAGTCAAACAACAACAAACAACACGAGAATGCTAACGGGAGAACCAGAACTTTGAGCAAGTCCTTGCCAATATCAACAAGCTGAATCGTTCCCTCGAGGCAGTCATTACGGTAAGCAATCTTCCCCTCCACATTCTAATACGCTGGCTCCGAAGAAACTTGGTCACTAATTCGGGGCGGTCGACACCGCATCACAGGTCGGAAACGAGTTCTCCTCCGTCGAGGCGCTGTGGTCGCAGTTCGAAAACGTAATGGCGAAGGAACCCGAGGAAAACAAGCAGGGCGATACCGAGGAGGGCAGCGACGGCGAGACGAAGAACGAGCAGAGATCATGATACCCACCAGCAACGAAATACCTACTTTTTATGAATGATGATGTTATTTCTACACACGCAGCAGCATCGTCATGCCATTTCTCTTCATTGCTACATTGCCGGGCTCATCTCATCATAAGGTACTCCGCCGTCGTCACCCCGCGAAGAGAAGCACCCAAACGCCCAGTCGTCTTGACCTTCTTAACACCCTCGCGCCTGCTCTCCGCGTCCGGCTTCTTCGCAAGCTCGCCCAACCCAACCACCAAATCGTTATAATTCGAATCTCGAAGCTTCTCCAACCCCTCAGCGACGGCTAGACACCTCTTTCCTCCCTCTGTCAGCGCGCCAACCCGTCTCTGAAGATCGTCGCTGAGATCTATGTGCTTCAACAGAAACAACGACTCGAGCGAAGCCGCCATGATCTCCAAGCGGACCTCGTCCATCTCGTTTTCGGGGCTCCTGGCGTTGCGGGCGTCTTTGAGGTGCTGGAGCTGCTCAACAAGACTACCAAGATCGTCTTTTATGGGGTTATGTGCGTAGTCTTCCATTTCCAACGGCAGCGTCGCCATTGGCTCCGTCTCGAACTTCATCTGGGCGACGGTGGCCTCTCGCTCATTTGTCGTAGTCGTAGCCTCATTATCAACAATACCGTCCCCATTTCCATCAGGAACCAGCCCGCTACTGCTGCTCTCGCCGCTCACAGCAGACATCCGCGCCTCGACCCCCTCCAACTCCTCCCTCAGAATCCCCTCCTGCCACCCAAGAACCTTCCACCTCGCCCTCTCCCATTCAAACCCATCTCTCGCCTCACCAACGACCTGACTCAACCTCTCCACGTCCTCACCCAGGCCGTCTGCCCTCCTACAGAGCCCAGCAAACGCATCAGCGACCCTCAGATGCGTCATACCGACAGTCTCGCACGTCTCCTGCACAACACAGACATGCCTCCTCAGCAAATCCCTCTTCTTCCGCCCTGTACACGGGAACCACCTCTCCAGCCCCGTCTTCCTGCCAGCGCGCTGCGCCAAACTCCCGAGAAGCTGCTCAACGTCCCCCGCGGCGCCTCGGCACTCCTTCTCCGAGTTTACATAAGGCACTCTGCGCACCTCATCTTCCAACTTGGCGAGCGCGTCGTTGAGTCTAGCAACTTGCGCATAAAGGCTTGCGACGTCGACGGATGATAGCAGCTCGGATTCGGAATGCTCGGGATTCAGCCTTAAATCTGGGCTTGGATTTGGGTTTGGGTTTGGGTCGCCGACAACGTTGCTCTCGGTTCGGACCAGTGTGGTGGGTCGCCCGTCGTTGGTGTGATGCGCGAGATCACCTTCTCGCGGGAGATCGGCGATCAGAACCTGGCGTGCCTGGGCAGAAGAGTCCATGGTGCGTAACGATCGGCTGGTGTCAATTTATTGCAAACCGGTTGACTCGAGGAATTTTTTTTAGGATTTGGGATTTTGGGTTTGGTAGTCGGATTGATGAAAAGTGCATCCCATTGTAGAGAATCCCATTCATATCAGTCTCTCATCGGACCTTTCTCCGATGCCTCCTTGGAAGATATCAATTTTACCTTGCTGGCTGTATTGACTCTCATGAACTGCTGAACCACGGCACTAGGAAACTCAAAATTCTGTGCAACTTACGTAGGTACTTCCGCCAGATTTGGCAACATCAATATCCTAATCACTCACTTTCATCTCATACATCACATTCAGGGCACAACGTAACAATTGATTTGATGCTTTTAACATTTCATGTTTCCTATCCCTCGGGAATGCCCTATCAAGACAGAAAACCCCATGCTGCTACAGGAGAGGAAAAAGAGAAAGGAAAATAAGAAAATAAGAAAAATTACCCCTCAGGGTCCAAGAGGTTACCTGATGGTTACAGAAAAAAACTGATCAAAGTCTCCCCTGTACCCGCTCCGTTTGTGTGTGTGTGTGTGTGTGTTTGTTTGGCGTAAACAATAAAGGGTATGGATGAGTCTAGGGACTCGGATGAGAAAACCACTCACTTTCCCTCCCACTCCCTTTGTTTCGTTTCCCACTTATATACCATTCGTTCTTCTTCATCAAACAACAAGAAGAGATTCTCTCTCCCAACATCCCTGGTGGAGGGAAAACTTCGTCTCCGGTCTAGAGTTCATCCAGCCCTAGAGCAGGAGACGCCCCCCCTTCGCTAATGGTGGCGCATGCTTTCTCCAGATCGTAATAGTAGCAGGTCGTGACGAGATCATGCAGATAAAACAAAAAGTCATTCATTACGCCCTCCGCCGGTGTCCATTGCCTCTTCGTTACAACCCCGAGGTCCTCAGTAGGAGTTTCACAGGATCTTGCAATTCCTCTTCTTCTTCTTCTTAAGAGCGACGCCAGGGAAACCTGCACTGCTTCCAGGCGGACCACTGGGTGTTGACGGGGAGGCGGCAGCTTGGGCTTCCTGGTTTTTCCGATCATTGGCGACGACCGTCAGGATGGCCTGTTCAAAGATCTCGTCCACACCAGTCATCTCCTTGCTGCTGCACTCAACGTACTGGGCGCCCATCTTGCGAGCAACAGCACGGCCTTGCTCCTGGGTCACGGGCGTGAGGCCTTGTGTCTTGAGCATGTCGATGCACGTTTTCTTGAAGCGGAGATCGGACTTGAGGCCCACGAGAACTAGAGGAGTGTAGGGGCAGAAGTGGAGGACTTCGGGATACCACTGGTAGGAGAAGAAATTAGCATTAGTGCCAAATGGCGTTGCCCCAAAAAAGGAGGGGCATGTTATCTGAGGGGCGGTGATCAAATTACCTTGTCCATGACGTTTTCAAGCGAGTTTGGGCAGTCAATCGCAAAACACACAAAGATCAAGTCGGTCTCGGGGTAAGAGAGCGGTCGCAGTCGGTCATATTCCTCCTGGCCGGCCGTGTCCCATAGCGCCAATTCCACCGTCTTGCCGGACGGTGGGTGCGTTGGGTAGGTGATGTAGTTCTCGAATACAGTGGGGACGTATTTCTGTCGTCACCAGAGTCAGCATTGTTTTGGCTCATTTCGCTCCCCAGCAACACGCAAATGACGCAAATGTTGCGCTCGAAAGGAGTTGGTTATATTTTTCTGCTTGGATGCTCACCTCTGGAAAGTAGCCTTGGCTGTAACTGATGAGGAGACATGTCTTTCCGCAGCCGCCGTCGCCGACGACGACAATCTTCTTGGAATAGGCAGGACCTTCGGTGACGTGGGTTGCGGCGCTCTCGCGGCCTGTTGAAGAGCTCATTGTGGTGCTGACGGTGCCGTCGCTACTCCTAAGGCGCGTGTTGCGGCGGGAAGTGGCCGGGCGGCCGTCGTCGTACTTTTCGCTAATGTTCTGAGACGAGTTGTGGTATGAGTTGCGGTATTGGTATGAGGACGCCATAATGCGGCAGGCTCGAGCTGTGTTTGAGATGCTGTGATGCGATGACGAGGGAGGTCGTTCCGCGGCGTGACCCCTCGTGCGTGTTTGCGAGATGGGTTGATGTGATGATGGGTTAAGATAGATACCGGGGGCCGGTGCGTGCGCTCGTCTGGGGGTGGAAGGGGGGGTTGTTGGGGAGACTTGAGTGGTTTGTGCTTTTATGCGATGTTTCCCGGGTTGTGTGTGTATGCTGCTTGTTTCTTGTTGCGGTGGAGGAATACTGCCGATATTGATATCGCCGCTTCTCCCTCAAACGAGCCTCCTCGCTTCGTCTTCAGCTGCTTGCCGTGTTCAGTCGAATGCCGTTGAGATATGGTTAAGTGCGAGGCATGCAATACGGGGAAGAGACGTTGGCACGTTGCGGCGTTTTGAAGTTGAGGAATGTTGGAAAGGTGCTTGGTCTGGCTTGGGATGGTGTATTGTATGGGGGTGGGTTTGTGTGCGAGGTGGATGGGCGGGTTGTGCTGTGTTCTTGAGGAGAAGGAGCGGGAGCAAGGAGGGCAATTGTAAACAAGTCGACGGGGCAACCAGCCACTTCTTGCCGGGGTGATGACGGCAGGCGCCAGAGGAGCCACAACGACAACGCAAAAGTGGAGCTGGCGAAAGCGCGCTAAGGCGGATCAATCGAACCCCTGGTTGTGGCCTGGCCAAGGAAGGTTCCCCCCTGCAGTCTGAAAACGGACAGCTCCCGTCAGAGTTTTTCCGGTGCTCTTTCCTTGGCCGGCGGGACTACGGGACGAGAGAGAGAGAGGTGGCCCAAGCTCCAACCCCACCACCGCCTCCCTCAAAATCGCGACGTGAATTTTTCAGTCTTTCACTTCCGTCTTCAACGAACGCGTCGTTGACCTTTACTTCGACACACGGAAGCCATCATTCCAATATCCAGCAGTTTGTCTATCAACCCGTCCGCATCATGGATCCCAACGGCACAACCGACAGCAAGTACGTGACTCTGGTCTCGAGTGATGGCTACGAGTTTGTCGTCTTGCGGGACGCCGCCATGATCAGCCCTGCCATCAAAGGCATGTTGGACACGCGCAACAACTTCCGTGAGGCTGCTCTGGGTCGCTGCGTGTTTGAAGAGATCAGGTAAGCCAGCACAACCCAGCGCTCCCACTGCCACCTCTCGTTCTCTACGGCTGTTGCGATGATGAACTCCGATTACATCGATGAGTTTCACTGACAGACCACCGCTCCAACGGCTGGTCTGCTTGATTGTTCAACTACACTTGATCTGAAACAAGCAACATTCTTTCTTTTTCCTTCACACTACTTGTTTCCCAGCCACTTCACAAGGCTAATCCTCATTCCTTTTTGTTTCTCTTTTTTCCAAAAAGTTCTGGAAACGTCTGACCGTCTTCTCTCTCGGCAGTGGCGTTGTGCTCGAGAAAGTTTGCGAGTATTTCCAATACTGGTACCGCTACCGCGAGCGGGAGGACGTTCCTGACATGGACATTCCTGTCGAGCTGTGCCTGGAACTGCTGGTCGCGGCCGACTTCCTGGGCCTGGACAGTAAGACATCCCCAACCTCCTCTGATCCCAGAGCGAAGGCATCTGTCTCACGGGAACCACCCAGCCGTTCTGACACGTTTCTCACAGAGCAAAACACCGGCACTGTCTAAATGACGTTTGATGACCACTTGCATTTTGGCTTCATTGTTCATGACGGAGTTTGGGGCGTTGAGCGTTCAGGGTGGTACAACCAGACACGATACCATTGCTATGACACCATGACGAAATCCCATGCCAAGAAAGGCATGTTTTCTGTTCTTTGCCATGATCTTCCTCTCGATTGTGACCCACGCTATCACCCCATATGTGAAATACCAACCCCCCATCTTAGCATATGCGTTCCTCCCCTCACTCTTCCGTGGGTTGAACGTCTATTAAAGATGGAAGAAGAACTATATTCCACTCACTCTGCTCGACTCAACTTTCTACCATTGAGATCTACGCTTTTTCTGTTGGGATACAGATCAACCAAAGCAAACACATACGTGAACACTAGTGTAGCTGAATAAACTGAATTCTTTCATCTTTGATAACCGCCCCTGATAACATGTGAAGCCTTGTTTTGGTTTGTCCTTGCCGGTATCTTGCAACTTCCAGACAGCTTTAGGCGACACCTCGCAACTGTGACCTTTTTACCATGAAATCTGCCATATGTATATATCCACTTTCAACCAAAACTCAGTTCCAACCTCTGCCTCTCCCACGGCCCCTACCCCGGCCCCTACCACCACGTCCACCACCGCGTCCACCACCACCGCCTCTATGAAAGCCCCGACCACCACCGCCACGGTGTCCCCTGAACTCTCCAGCCGGCGGACCCCTTGCCTTCCTCTCCATCCTCTCCTCCTCGCTAGCATCCCACAGGTTCCCGACCTCCAAGAGCGCGCAGTAGGCCGACGTCTGCGGGTTGGTGTACTCGAACGGCTGGTGCGGCACAGACTCGGGCTCGCCCTCTACATGCGGCGGCGCCGTGATCTCAAAGTTGAGCGGGACGTCAAGCTTGTTCTTCTGAACGATGTTCTCCTCGACCCATCGGCGCTCGGCGTCGATGAGCGGCGCGTAGTGTTCCTCGCTCAGGTCCGGGCTCGGCTGGTGGTGGGCCGCTTCGTCGCCGATGACGAGCGTGGGGTGGAAGACGCGCGTGATGGCGAGCCATTCCGGATCGTACTGCAGGCGGAAGGGCCGCGTCGGGGCCGGTTGGTCGGCGGGCAGGATGTTGTGGGGGCGGGCTTCGAGGAGCTGGAGGAAGTGGCGGCGCGGGAGACACTTGTCGAGGGCGAGGAAGTTGACCTGCTTGTTTGTGATTGTTGGCGGGACGGGCTGCCCTGGTGTCCTTTTCGGCTGGGGCTTGGGTTTGGCGAAGGAGGCCGGGAGTTGGGCGCGGATGTCTTCGGGGACGGAGGTTTTGGTGTTGGTGGCTCCTTCTTGTACTTCTTTGCTGGGCTGTGTTTGCGTAGGTGCGGTAGGCTGCTCGTCATCGTCATCGTCGTCGAGATCGATTTCGTTGGGATTCGTTTGTGCTGGTGCCGGAACAGCGGGTGCGTCCGTGATCTCTTCGTCTCCATCCAGGTCGATCTCGTCTGGATTATCCGATGCTTGAACCGGCTCGTGTGCCGCAGCCGGGGCTGTAGCTGGGGCCGAAGCTCCCTCCGCTGCCTCCTTCGTAGTTGCCTCCTCATCCTTGTAAATCTTCAACGCCGCAAACTTGCAGTGCAAATGCGCGGAGAACCAATACGGTGGCCTGAGCCGATCGCAAACATACTCCGCCGCGACATTGCCCAGCGTGCCATCCATCGACTCCCTTTCGAAATCCGGCTTCATCCTCCACAGCGCCTTCTCGTCACCCCACCTCTCGATCGCGCGCGGCCAGTCGTGGCTGATACCGACGTCAACCTGCTCCCTCAACAGCAGCAACTTTCTCACATCCACCTCTCTGACGTGATAGAAGCTCTTGATCTCGTCCGGGCCCATGGGCAGCCTCTCGTGGTGGCCCTTGCGGTAGTCGAAGCCCTTCCAGATGCCGCTCATGCCCGCGATGCGCAGCGGGCCCAGGCGCAGGACGTTGGCGGCGCCGAGGTAGTAGATGTTGGGCGCGGCCCAGCCGCCGTAGAAGAGCTCCCACATGTGGCTGGCCGCCTCGTGGTTGCCACCCGCGAAGACGGTGAGGTACGGCGCGGTGCGGTGGCCGGCGTAGTACTCCCAGAAATCGCCGAGTTCGCGGTACTTTGCGGGGACGGACATGACGGTCAGGTCGGCGGCGTTGCGGGCGGCTTGGAAGTCGCCGCCGATGATGAGGAGATCGACGCCGTCCCAGCCGCGAGCCGTGCAGGAGGCCTCGACGGCGGCGTAGATGGCGTTGAGGGTACCATGTCCCTGTCGAGATTGTCAGTGAAAGAACATCTGCGTGTAAGACGAGTTCCTCGAAAGACTTACGCATCCCTCAACGGCGATCCGAACGCCATTGGTCTCAAATGTTTGCGTGGCCATTTTGGGTGGTCACTAGGGGTGTGGTTGTTGTAAGGCGGAGGTTGACTGAGGTTCGGTTGTACCCGCGAAATTTTCATACCAGCATCATGACACTAGATGATGCTGAGTTGAAGTTCATGAGCTTCAAAACAATCACCAAGCGACTCTCCTCAGGCGAATTAATTGAGAGGTACTCATTGAAAAAAGAAAAAGAAAAAAGATTGTCAGTCCGACACAATAGCATTTTTACACCATTCATTTATCGCCCTTCGTCGCGAATTCAGTTCATCAAGCCAACATCTTTTGTGCATCTTTGGTGAAGGCACAGATCACATAACGCGGGTAAGATTGACGTACTCAATATCGATACATCTAGCTATGCATGGAAATAAGAAGCTTCGAAGCGCCATGAATAATCTCTCATGCAGAATTACTGAGTGCACGTACTGACTCGAGGCGTCGATTGCCCACGCCTTGAATACATCTAGTGGCAACCTCGACTTATCTCGTGGTCTATCATGATTCTCAGACTGTCGTTCGTGGTCCAGCCATGATTACAGGATAAATGCTCCTCTTTATCAACAAATAACACGGACACGTCCGGATTCAGACCCAGTGACGGTAAGCGTTCACATGGCATTCGTCCGATTATATCAAGGACCAAGGGTCGATTTCATATGACATGATGTGTTGAACCTAACATGTGCCATGAAGACTCGGAGGATTATCAGGCTCAGAATAAACAGCTCGGGATAATCAAGAGAAGTAAAGAGGCCAATGCTCCCATGACCCCGGATTTTTTTGGGTTGCAGCGCCAGGCGGTACCTTACAGTGGACCCGATGATTTTCCGACAGCCTCACACCACTGAAGCAACCTCAGGTGCACTGTGCCCGCCTAAAAATTGGCCCCAATTGAGAGAAGGACGAGCCTCGCGCATCGTAGCCTCGACTCCTGCGCAAACTTCCCCCCATCTACACATTACATGGGCTGTATCTCACCCTCGAATCGCCCACCATGAGCGTATGCAACCCCCCTTTCCCCTTCAGTTTCGACATTCTCTAGGACGTAATAGGCTAACAAACCTTTTCTACCTCGTAGTTCGTGCCCATTAACCCGCGGCCTATGCTGCAAGACCTGTACGTCCTCATCTCGTCCCGCGAAACGCGCCTCTCCAACGCCAACGCCCTCTACGAACACAAACATCCCCTCCCCTCGATAGAAAAAGCTTCCCAAGTATGCTAACATTTCATCTCTGCGCAGTGTCAACCAGGACGTCGTCATCAGACTCAAGTGGGGCGAGACCGAGTACAAGGGAAAGTTGGTCAGCATCGACAGCTACATGAACGTCCAGCTCAGCGGCGCCGAGGAGTACATTGACCAGAAGATGACGGGAGCTTTGGGCCAGGTTTTGATCCGGTACGCGACCATTGTTCGACACACACGAACCCCCCTCTCTCAATCTTTTGTCACCTACGATAATCGCTGACTGAACGCGCTACAGGTGCAACAACGTCCTCTGGATCCGCGGCGCGAAACAAGGCGAGAACGGCGACGTCAAGATGGACGGTTGAGCGGGAAGATCATCCCTCCCACAACGAGCGGAAAGACCACGAGCGGAACAAACATGGACATAACCTGGGAAAACGCCCTCACGTACTTTTGGGTTTGACTTAGAGAAAGGGCGGGCAGAAAGGGATATTGATTTTCACGATGAGCTTGGAGCAGTCAAAACGAATCCACAAAAAGGCCGGCGATGGAACGGAGTTTGCAGTGTTCCCAAGTCAGGTTGAATACCGCCAGGTGGCGCTGCGCAAGAAAGAACCATCTATCTACCCCATTCGCAGCAACTATAGAAGAAGAAGAAAAGGGGCGCACACCATTGTCGGCGCCTCCAGTGCCCCCTTTTGGTACCATCACTTTTTTTTTCCCGCAAATACTTACATGAGGCAAGCAACCTTGCGACTACTGCAGAGATCCGACGACGCTACCTTGATGCGCTGTGTCTCGCTCACCCACGTGTACGCCTCGATGAGCCACTCGTACCACACCCGCGAATCATCCGTCTGGCGCCACATCGTGACCTCCAATTCAGTGTCGGCAGGGTAGTAGATCGGTTGCTGTGAAATGTTAGTGAATTCTGTCCATACTGAACCAGGGTATTTGGGGGCCTATTTTTGCTTACCTTGATGGGGAAGAAGATGGGGAACCACGAGATCATGTCCTTGCTCTTGCGGTCAATCAGCTCGGGATGCGTGCTGATTTCCACCTTTTCTCTGTCGCCGGTCTGAGGCGCATAGAGGACGGACTCAAAGTACCCGGCCAAACCGTGGATGACACCCCTCGTGGGGCATACGAACGTGAGATGGCAGAAGCGCGAGTTGTGGTCGTTGGCGCCGACGGCACCCGCCATGCTACCGCCTCCGCCGCCCATGACGCCGCCGGCACGTCTCGTCTCGATCTGCTTGAGCGTGGCCTCGGAGACCGGGTGGGAGAACTCCCACGCCTGCTGGAAGCGCGGGTGACCGGGCACGCGCATGGCGGCGAAGTCGAGGGCGAAGAGGCGCACCACCCAGGGGGTGTCGAAGGCGTTGGGCTCCGTGGGGACCCTGGTGAGGAGGTCGGCGTGGATGCGCGGCGTCGCGATGGGGCTCATGTGCGCCGTGTAGGACTCGGGGATCGAGATGCCGCCGGGCGCCAGGACGTGCTGGACGCCGTCGAGGCACTCTGGCGAGAGCTCGTTGTCTGCGAAGGAGCCGAGCAGCTCGGATACCAGGATGTCCACCTTGCCGTAGACCGGGTTGTTTTCGGGGGTGCCCGAGACGAGGGGACCCTTCCAGGCGCGCATGTCTGTCTTGACGACGGTGACCTTGCCGCCCCAGATCATCTCGTTCTGTCTGAGGAGGTAGACGTATGCGTTGGGGTTCTTCTCTACGGCCCAGACTTGGACGGGGACACCAGTCGCCTCGCTGGCCTTGAGTGCTCTCGTAACGAGAGGACCGCGGCCGGAGCCGACGACGGCAATGACGACGGCGCCGTCCTTGGATGAGGTGGCTCTACCCAGCTGATGCCACTCGGCCAAGGCCTCCGTGCAGGCAGCCTCGTACTGGTTGTACTTGACCGGGTCACCCTCAAACACCTCGTACGTGGCCGACTCGAGGTTGTCGGACAGAGGTTGCAGGGGCGACTGGAGCCAGTCCTGGAAGCTGGTGAGCGTAGTCTGCTCCAGGTAGGACAGCGGGCGCTGCTGCATCTCGAGCCACTTGAGGTACACCACATAGGTGCGGAACGACTTGAGAGAATCCGTGGCGAGAGTGGGAGTTTCGCCCAGGGGAGGGAAGTCTGCGGAGGTAGGGACTTGGTTTCCGAGACTGACGGCCTGGAGCTGTGCCTCGGCCGTCAGCGAGGCGGTGTCCGGACCGACGTCGCTCAGGAGCAGCCAGGGCGCGTTCTTGAGGCGCATGTAGTGGAAAATCATGTCCTGATGGGCCTTGGGCAGGGCAGGGTGTCCGGTCTTGTTCTTGGAGAATGCGTTTCCGCTGAGGGAGAGGAAGTGCAGGGGCTCGGCGAACCACTTCTCCTGGAGAGACTTTTCAGGCAGAGCTCTGGGGACGCGAATGGCTGTTGATGCCGGTTAGCGTTTCTTTCTAGGGTAGAAGACTGAAGAAGATGCCTTACCAACATACAGACGCATGCTGTATTCGCAGACTGAGCGGACAGTATGCCAAGAGTCCCATGCGCTGTAGATGTCGATCTCCTTGCTGTTCTCGGGGTGAGGCTCCTCTGACAAAGTCGACAGGAGCTCTACGCTCTCCTCCAGGCCCGGCTCCCGGTACATGGGTATGTGGATAATGAAGTTGAGGCGCGACGCAATGGTCATTGCCTCCTGCACAGCTCTGGCGTATTGAGACAGACCCTGGTTTCCGCCATTCTTGGAGGCGTCTCTCCTGGGGCCGGGAATGATGATGCTTCGGACACCACAAAAGTTGGCGTAGGCAATCTCGAGGTTCAGGACCTGTCGAGAAATGCTGGCAACGGCAGGATCGACCGAGGCCAAGTCGATCCAGGGACTGGCGTAGGCGATGTAAGTGGTGACGGCATGACTGGGGAAGAGGGAGGTGTCCTTGGGGGTCAAAGGAGGCACCACGGCGTCCGCCAGTGAAGCGAGTCCCTTCTTTGCCTTGGCGAGATGCTGGGAGACAAGCTCCTTTACCCGTGCATGGAAGTGCTTGTTGGTGATGGGTGCCGTCACAAAGTTGACCTGGAGTCAAAGCTTAGTGAGTGACAATTGAAAATAAAAGAACTTTGGGTCTCAGAAATGGACTTACACCAGCGTTCAGAATCTGGCCATACTGAAGATCATCAAGAGGCTGATCCCTCTCAGAATCATGCTGACCAAGGCTGAAAACAGGTCGGATTTGGTTGAAGTTGCTGCCGTCCATGGTGGATGTTGAGACTATTCAGGCTGTAATACCTTGTGCTGCCTAAAGAGGACTTGTGAATGGTGTAATTGCTCAGCGCACAAATACCCCACGCGGCGGTTGTGCAAAAAGCAGTTACCAGCTGGTCAGGACCCTGGCGCTTCGGTAAAAAGAGGATATGACAAGGGGATATGAGAAGATATGTGGTCAGCAAATCATTCTTGGTAGTTTGTTTGTGCTCAGGAAAACGATGGGCTGGGAGATCACAAAAGTTGCACTCAGAGCAGTTGCAACCTGATGTTGTGTGATTTGAGAAGTCAGGCTGTTGGGTACCCCCCAAGAGGTTAAAAAAGCACCAGATTTTGCGAGATGCGACCCGGTGCCATTGGTTGCACTCTGGACCCTGAAGAGAGTGTGAGAGGAGACAGTGCCCGCTGTCAGGAAAGTATACTTTACTGTCTTGCATCTTGGTCTATTCGATGAGTTTATGATACCCCTTCTGTGGGAGGACAACTTCTAGTATCTTACTCAGAATGAGATCTATTACATACCTAATATGTTCAAGATTATTTTGAATGAGTTTCAGCAAAATTGAGGGATTCTTCGTCATGTTTATAGCCACGTAAGGTCTCACGCTCTCAGTCACTCAATGTCTCATGAGCAGTGTGTGAGATCCTTCGTACGGTACGTCCCATGCATGAGTTTAGCTTATCTTATCATCCCACCTTCTTATTGGCCCGTGCTCATACCCACCCAAATTTTTCCCGCGACAACAAAAAGTTTCTGGGAGCCTCGCCTGGAATCGCCTCCCGAGTTCGTCCTCGTCGACGTCGAATCCACGGGCCGCAACTTCAACCAAACACCTCTCTCAAGCCCCTTTCCGTCCAACACCCTTCCGTACCGAAACGAGGAATTTGCGACCAAAATGGCCGACTTCGAGGATAAGGGATCGAAGCGCCTGAGTGCCGACAGAGAAGGAAGCAGGAAGAAGGTCAAGAAGGAGGAAGAGGACGAGTCAAAGTACAACCCCTACTTGGCGCATATGAAGGAGGAGAACGGCGTCAAGTCCGAGGAGGGCACCATTGATGCCAGCTCACCATTTTACGGTTTCAAGCAACGCGCCACAACATCGAAGCAGCACGAGAAGATCGAAGACCTCGAAGACAACGCCTTCACCGGTCGCCCTCACTCACAAAAGTACTTCCAGATCCTAGAAGCGCGTCGCGATCTTCCCGTCACGAAGCAGAGGTACGTCTATCTCGGAGTGTTATCCAAAAAACTTTTCCATCTTACTGACCATCCCTCCAACAGAGAAGAGTTCCTCGAGAAGTACCACTCTACCCAAATCCTCGTCTTCGTCGGTGAGACCGGTTCCGGAAAGACGACCCAGATCCCCCAATATGTCGTGTTTGACGAGCTCCCTCAGCTCAACCGCAAGATGGTCGCCTGCACTCAGCCACGTCGTGTTGCCGCCATGTCCGTCGCACAGCGTGTTGCCGACGAGATGGACGTTAGTCTTGGCGAGGAGGTCGGATACAGCATTCGTTTCGAGGACAGAACCAGCCCCAACACGATCCTCAAGTACATGACCGACGGTATGCTTCTCCGAGAAGCTATCCACGACCACGAGATGTCGCGCTACAGCTGTATCATTCTCGACGAGGCCCACGAGCGTACTCTCGCCACCGATATCCTGATGGCCCTGCTCAAGCAGATCGCCGCCCGCCGCCCCGACCTCAAGATCGTGGTCATGTCCGCCACCCTCGATGCGCAAAAGTTCCAGCGCTACTTCAACGATGCGCCGCTTCTCGCCGTTCCCGGTCGTACCCACCCCGTCGAGATCTTCTACACCCCCGAGCCCGAGAGGGACTATGTCGAGGCTGCCATTCGAACAGTATTGCAGATCCATGCCTCTGAAGGAGAGGGCGATATTCTACTGTTCTTGACCGGTGAAGAGGAGATTGAGGATGCCTGCCGGAAGATCAACCTCGAGGCCGACGAGATGACACGAGAAATCGACGCGGGCCCGTTGGTGGTTTACCCGCTCTACGGTACTCTGCCACCGCACCAGCAGCAGAAGATTTTCGACAAGGCTCCGGCTCCGTACAAGAAGGGCGGCCGGCCAGGACGCAAGGTCATCGTGGCAACCAACATTGCCGAGACGTCTTTGACCATTGACGGTATTGTCTACGTTGTCGATCCCGGCTTCAGCAAGCAAAAGATCTACAACCCGCGAATCCGTGTCGAGTCTCTCTTGGTCTCTCCCATCTCCAAGGCCTCCGCCCAGCAGCGTGCCGGTCGTGCTGGTCGTACAAAGCCCGGAAAGTGCTTCCGTCTCTACACCGAGCAGGCGTTCAAGAAGGAGCTCATCGAGCAGACACATCCCGAGATTCTGCGTTCCAACTTGGCCAACACGGTTCTGGAACTGAAGAAGCTTGGTGTCCAGGATCTCGTTCACTTCGATCTCATGGACCCTCCTGCGCCGGAGACCATGATGCGTGCCCTTGAGGAGCTGAACTACCTCGCCTGCCTTGACGATGATGGCGAGCTGACCACCCTCGGAAGTCTCGCCTCCGAGTTCCCCTTGGACCCGGCTTTGGCAGTCATGCTTATCTCCTCGCCCGAATTCTACTGCTCCAACGAGATTCTGTCCATCGTCTCTCTCCTCTCTATCCCTCAGATCTGGGTCCGCCCCGCCGCTCAGCGTAAGCGTGCCGACGAGATGAAGGCGCAGTTCTCGCACCCTGAGGGTGATCATCTCACGCTCCTCAACGCCTACCACGCCTTCAAGGGCACGGCAAACCAGCCCGACGTGGACCCCAAGAGGTGGTGTCACGAGCACTTCCTCTCCTTCCGTCACCTCAGCAGTGCCGACAACGTTCGTGCGCAGCTGAAGCGCATCATGGAGAAGTCTGACCTCGAGCTCGTGTCGACCCCCTTTGAGGACAAGAACTACTACACCAACATCCGGCGTGCGCTCCTTTCGGGCTTCTTCATGCAGGTTGCCATGAGGGAGAGCTCCGGCAAGGTTTACCGTACCATCAAGGACGATCAGGCTGTCATGATGCACCCCTCCACGGTCCTCAAGACCGACTACGAATGGGTCCTTTACAACGAATTCGTCCTCACCTCCAAGCAGTACATTCGTACATGCACCGGAATCAGGCCAGAGTGGCTACTTGTAAGCAATGCCCCTGCCCCTTTTACCATTCGAACAATACCACTTGCCTTTTCCCTCCTCTTGCCGCTTACCCCCATGTGGATTGCTACGATCGATCTCTTGCTTCTTTCAGCCCCCCCTGTCCTGCATTCTTCGGCACTTGCCTCGTCCTATCCATTGCATCGGAGAACCCCATAACTAATATTGATGTTACTAGGAAATCGCACCCGTCTACTACGACATTGACACGTTCGACGACGGAATCGTCAAGACCGCGCTGACCCGGGCCTCGGAGAAGAAGCGCAGAAAGGAGGCCATGAAGAATGGTCGGTGAGCAGCCAGCGTGCGCGCGCGCGCGCGGTCATGCACTCCGCTCGATTCGAGCGCAGAAACGGCAAACCCAAGTCCCAAAGAGCTCAATTCTCACAATCTTACACCCACCACCACCCACTTACCTACCCCTACCTTTTTCGCCAAGGTTGCGATTACGCTAAGGCCCTGGGGACCTAATGAAGAGAAAAACTCAGAGTGATCCGATTTTGGGATTTTGGAGGCCCGAAAGCCCCCCCCTTCCCCCAGTTCGATCGTGATTTTTTGGCGAGGGTCGCCTCCATCGCGGCGGGGGCACCGGCCTACCGGACCAGGGGGGTGCGTGTGTTGTTCGAAAGCCTCCCTTTTGGGGCTCAGTTTTTCGGTTGTGATGGGGAGAAATTCTCCCCCGTTTTGCGACTACGAACTTCAGCAATTTTTTTCTTCTTGTTGTCGTTACACAGCCTGGGACCAGGGCACACGGCGGGCAAATCACTTTGGAGAAGATGTCATGGTCGGTCGCTCTTCTCCAACCCGACGATCCGACATTGAAGAGACGTGTGTGGGCGGGCTTGGCAGGGGCTCATTGGGACCGGAATTTTTTATTATTGTTTTCTTTCATGGTGGTATGGCGTCCCAGGTATGACAAAAGAGAAGCATCATCAACGGCACATAGTGATCGTGTGTGCCCAAATAGAAGACCACATTTTCTTGTTCCCTCCACTCGGCAGCAGTAGCATCTTGCTCGTTGTGTCTGTCTCTCTGTCGTCTGTCCCCGCCTCATGTCACCCCCCTCTCGGTCCCCTCCCCTCCCTGCCCCCTCTGATCTTTGCAACCCATCCATCTTTACGAGCCAAAATTATCCATGGGTTGTATGTAGTCCCGGCAGATGGGTGCAGATGCAGAACATGACGGATGTAGCCGGGTATCGAAAAGGAGGGGAGGTGGATGGGAGGAGCCCACTTTCGCGAAATGCAGCAGCATTGCGTCTGTGTGTGTGAGAGAGAGATGGGCCGTGTGATCAAGGGTGGATTCCATGTGTGTGTGCTCTGAATCCAGCATTGCCAGCATCATTGCTCTCAGCATTTTTTGGGTATAATTGCATGAACAAGGGTGTGGTGGTTGAAAGAGAGTCAGAGCAGGTCCAGACTCCAAGCTCCAAACGGCCAGGGAAATTGCGAGGCTTCATGGGGGAAAAAGAGAACATCCCGATCGCCCGACGATTGGAAGGTCCAAGTTTTTTAGGTACATCATTCATCATGCATCGTACACTACACATTTCGTTTTTTGCCCTCTTTTTCATTTACCTTACCTTTGCTCAAAGTAAAAAGTTTGGGACGAGATCTCACCAGACCGCAAGGATCATCAAAGACGGGTTCTTTTCCATAGTTGGACATTCGGATTTGATTTGTCATTTGACATAAAAAACGCCCGGACTTTTGTCCGATCAGACAGACGTCCTGCAGCACCCGAGCACTGCCAGACCGTATCTTTGGGACAGGGTCAATTGAGAGCCTGGCGCGTGTCCGTCCGTGTGTGCCGTGCCGTGTAAGACGATCGCGAGACGGCGCCAAACCTTGTCGGCGCAAGCTCCCGCAAACTGAACACAACGGCGCGGCGCTTCCGGATCTGGGTCCTGTCCTTGGCTTGCCGTGGTCGTGCGTACGTAGTAGGCACGGTCGGCTGCTTGGGACCCTTGGGTCCCAAGAAAATCCAAAAGCCAAAACCCCTTCAGACCATTACCTGGTGCACTATTCGTGTAGTTTTACTCTTAGAAGTTAGAGGGCTTGGATGGAGGAGAAAGAAACCCCTGAACACGGGGGACGCCACATCGTCGATCGGACGCTATGCCCCCAACACGAGAGATACTAAGGCGTCACGACGTATACCAGGACGTCTGTGGTTGTGAGAGGGTAATCCTTATGATTCCATGATTCCATAGTTGTACGATCTGCGATCAGGAGTTGAGACGGGTAGACGGGGAGAACAGACGACGACACGACACAAAGATAAACCACGCTAAGCAAAGAAAATTCACAGTAGCAGATATAGCGCTTATGTTTTATGAAGAACCAAAAGGGAAAGACGAAGTAGTACACGAGCGGTGTGTTTTGCAGTAGCAGATGCTATCTCATGTTTTCGTCCTAGTGTAATTCGGCAGGGTTAGACAATAATCCCGTCTGCCGAAACCTCACAGTGAGCAAAAACAACCTCCCCCCCCAAGAGAGCGTCGCATCCGGTACGCGGGCGATGCGAGGCGATCCCCGACCCGGATCCCGTCACACGTGTCACGCGCGTGGTCTCGACGGTTCCACCGATCGCTAGTCGCGGGAGAGGTTACACAGGCACAAAAAACAGAGGACGTATCGGGAATAAATCCAGCCAGCAACCAACCTCACAGTGACCACACACACACTCTCACGCGCACATACACTATACACAATCACACATGCGAATAAATTCAGTCTGTGACTCTCTGCAGTCAATGGTCTGTGGTCGGTGCAAGTCTTTACCTTTTGAAGGAACATTATCCCGATTCCCGAGCACACACACACACACACACACACCGTACACCGTACACCACCAATCAACCTGCTAGCCAGCCGAGCAAAAGCCTCCTTATGCAGCACCTAGCCAAACCACCACCCTTCTCTCTCCGGTACACTAACATTGCTTAACTCTTCTCCAACGCCCGCCTGGGAGGCTTAATAACCTTTCGGAGTTTCGGAGAGAGAACGCCCTTCTGCAGGATTCTAGCGCGGTGAAAGGGAAACAAAGGGAAAGAGTGCGTATGCGTGTCTGCGCCTCTCTATCGCACTCATCATCCCCCCCAACGTCTTGTTGAAAAAAAAAAAAAAAAAACGCACGCCAAGCAAGGGTTTTCTTAGTCAAACTGGGGGGCTTCACCAAAAAAAAAAAAAAAAAGTGAGGCAAAGCTAAGGTAAGCAAAAACCGGAACATCGGTCACATCGGCGGTAGGACCTAAGGAAAAACACTCAACGAAAGTTTACGTCTACGGTGCGTCGTGAGCACGGGCGAAAAAAAAAAAAAAAAAAGAGGGCGGCGAAAAGAGGCAAAGCCAAGGACAAAACAGCACTTGACCCATCTCGTCGATAGCGTAATAGTATCAATCTACTACATGCTGATGTAAGACTACCTTACATAGGTAGTCTCTCTCGTTGTCATACACAGGGCTTCTCAGCTGCCCAGGTATCGAGCTATACAGCAAGCTATTTCATCTTAGTCTGATAGACTAAACTACACGAGGTTTCGGCACTCTGAAATTATCTGCCCTGGCAGTTTATTCAAAATCAGGGCAAACAAAAATCAGGGCAAATTTACCTCTCAGTCACCGTCCCGTCCATCTCATCCCGCAAGAAGAGCAATATTAGGAATAGCTGCGCGGCGCCGCCATGACCAGGGGTGGGAAGGGGGTGAAGAAGAAGCGTGTGGTGGTGGTGTGATATGATGATTTTTAAGTGACAAGTGAGAAACGACAAACACTGACTTGTACGCTTGCCTTAGTCCTCCGGGGGGATAAGACAAGTCGACACATGGCCGCGTTTTGGTGGCTCATGTATGATTTGTCCCACGAGTGTTTAGTCGTGCCTCTAGAACCTCCCCCAAGAGGAAGAGGGACGGTATATCAGAATATTGAGTGAAATAATAGAGGAAAGCGGGAAAATAGAATCATGCACAGCAGCAGCAGCGCAGGCGCTTTCTCGTATACGCCGGCGACCCCTTCTAGACAAACTCGTCTAGCATGACTAGAGCCCGGAGGGGTCTCCGGAGGGAGACTTTGAAGCAACCGAGACATTTCGAACGAGGGAAGGGATTTCCATACTAGTTGATCTACAGTACGTATGTGCGGGCTATAGCAGGTCGGCAGCCCGCGTGGCATATGATCTGAGCGAACAGAGTGTGAGTGTGACTCGTGAGAGTGAAGAGAAGGGGGAAAAACAAAGGCACGTAAGCCACATATCATGTAGCATGATGCAAACTTGCATCTAACCCTCTCATCCAATCTGGCTTCGCCATACACATCATCAAGTACCTCACCTGCTCACCAAACGAAAAACGAAAAAAAAATCCATTCCAGAAGAGACGGAGAGCCTAGCAGGGCCCATTCTTCCGGGATCCCGCGGTGGCACCCTTTCGCGCAGTAGTGGCCACACATGCTGCGCGAAATAGAAGAGTCTAGACCACACCATCGGAGCTGCCACCGCCAGGGTGGTAGACCAGCTTAGCAGCAGCAGCAGCAGCGGTAGCGGCGACGGCAGACAGAGAGAGAGACTGGGAATGAGAGACGTTGTCTCGCTACACAGGAACGGTGTAGGTACAGGGAGATGCCTTCGAGGGAACTTTTTGTTGGACCCTTAAGGGTGCAAGAGTCCCCTGGCAGGCTGGTATCAAAGAAAGGTATGGCGCGCTGGCAGGGCAGAAGACTAGGTCGGGTCGAGCGTGTTGCAGGGCGAAAAGGAGCAGGGGTGGACAAGAGGATGGATGGATGGATTGGATGGATGAAAGGGAAAAAGGCGTACAAGACACTAGGTAGTCGTGGTAGTGTAAACTTTGAAGGAGGGTTGTCTTCTTCTTTTTCTCCCCTGCAACCACACAACCATCGCAGGAGAAATCGCGCCATGATGACGGATGAGAGCATGGCTACACACCAAAGATCTGGGCGCACATCTCTTCACCGCAGTAGCGGCATCGAATCGGTGTGAGCAAGAACCCCCAGCTGGGCCTCGACAGACGTACCGGTAGGTACTGTAGTCTAGTAGTGTACATACACACGTTTTCCCATCCATCGGCGGCGCTATAATGGTCCGCATTGATGCATGGGAGAATTCTCTTTTTTCTGGAATCACCCAGAGACCTTTTGGGGGCCGAAGTGGCTGGCTGTACGGAGTATCGGCTGGCTGTATCATTATCCCCCCCCCCGCGATTCAGAGAATGTCGGCGCACGATATGGGGAGAGAGAGAGAGAGAGAGAGAGAGAGAGAGAGAGAGACACCCACGGGGAGTTGAGGGACAAGAATCATCCTGCGACCCTGCAGTCATTGCCCTCTCTCGAACGGTTGAACCTTATGGTTGGGTCTTTTTAGTCTTTTGGGAGGGGTCTCGGTTACACAAGCATCCATCGGAGGGTGCCAGCTCATGAATGACGAAAACGTAGGTACCATGCGCTTGGTTAAACCTCTCATCTCTGCTTGGTAAACCAGATAGACTCTGCGCGGTTCTTGGTACGGACCGTACGGCTAACAAAGTAGCTTGACGAACTGCGACCTGACTAAGCAATATTCAGATTTTAGTTGTTTGCCCACATATGCGTCCCGTACCGTGGTATCGAGCCGGGTAGACAGGTAGGTACTTAGGTAACGGGGGGGGAAAGGATGGTCAAGTTGTATCGAAAACTCGGTTCAAGAAGCCTCCTGGTCAGCGGTTACATCGAGAGGATCCCTTCTTCGTAGTGAAATGGACCTCAACGGACCACCTCCGTCGTTCCAGTCTCTAGTCTGGACGGGCAGATGAGGGAATGGGGGACTGAGGGAGACTGAGGGTTGAGGTTCGAGGGTACATGTAAGTGGAGGGAGGGGTGTGTACTTGGTAAGTTGGAGTCGGTACTCCGTAGGCACGTAGGGAAGCAATCGGAAACGAGCAGGACAGGAAAATTATGGAAATGCTGGTGACGTACCCGAGGCCCAGCGTGCCTGTCACTTGGAATGACCGACGAATCCCCGTTCCCACATCGTCTGGTCTAAACTCGAGTTGGACGACAGCGCATCAAATCTCACCAAAGCGACCGCGGCGGCGGGCTTTTTGACGGCATCCAAGCGATTTGCCAATCCCGCAGGCTGCTCTGCTTTTCTCTCTTAATTCAGCTATACTCGGCGTTGGCTGCTGCTGCTGCTGCTCAATACCTACCTAGTTACCACCAATCTTCAAGACGGCCCGCTAGATTACTCGGCGGATTGAGAACTGCATCGCACGCATCGCGTGGCGGTTACACGAACGAATATGCAGGAAAGGGCAAAAAAAAAGAAACCATCAAGCCAACCGCCGCAGAGTCTAGGCTCACTCGTGGAAAAGAAGCTCAAGGTCCTAGAAGGCTAGAACGTTGAGAATCGTATCACCTTCCGTTTCAAGGACTTACGTAAAGCTCTCAA